AAATTCGAATTCAATAAAATGTCCACATTTAAAAACTTTTACTTGCAAATAATTTTCCATATCTTATTTTGCTCTGAATTTATGGTCCATGCCATATCGGGTGGCTTTACAAATAAATAAAAGATTTTAGTAAATTTTTTACAAATTTCTCCAAATTTTAAAGCAGTGACTTGTCTTTTATTGTGCCACAATGCACAATCAGCTTGTCAAAATCGTTTTTTTCTCATTTATAGAAATTGGATAACTATTTAGAAAATTTTCTCTTGCAACGCGCCTCAAAGGGTGCGACAGATCAAAGCCATGCGCGAAAGCAAGAAAAATATTTACATTACTTTAACGGATTGAAGAGATATTAACATGATGGAATTAATAATTATTGTTAACTCGAAGAGGTATTCATTAAACAAAAACATATTTATAATTCACATCTCAGTACATACCTTCCAATTTCGAGTATATATTTTTTTAATAAATAAATGATAAAATTACTGTACGTAAACAATAACAACATGAATTCAAATCACTTACGTACTGTTTATCACTAAATAGTAGAAAACGATATATATTTTGTTGGTGTCACCATCTAGACGAAAAAGCTTTTAACGTATTCCTATTTTTATTGTAATAAAAATAAATGCTCCTCTAGGCAAAAATTAAATATATTGTTCTCTTCTAGCATTTTTTAACATTTCTATTTCTTTTCGTTTCTTTTCTTAGATTTTTTCAAAAGAGACTGACTCATATTTTTAAAGTGACTCCAGAGAGGTATGGGCTAAGCCTTTACCTGTACTTATATAAAATTTATTTTAGTAAAATTAAAAAATAATCCGTAACATTGGTGTACTATGAAACCCTTGCGTATAATATATATACCAATCTTAGTATTAAAGAAATAAATTACGTAAAAAATAAGGTGTACAAATAAGTAAAATTTATTCATCCCTCGTAAAACATCAGTAAAATAAATTATAAGTTGTTTTCATTCACAAATATTAATTTCTTAAAAATTTAACAGAGGCGCCACTTTCCAGACGAAAAATCTTGCCATGTAAGGGTTTCGTAGTACCCCCACTTTTAAAGTTTATTTTTGACTTATTCTGAAAGAAAAAAATATGTACGTGTAGGTAAAGGTTAAATCTGTGCTCCTCTGGAACCACTTTCTCAAAATTAAATTTAGTTTTTTCTAAAAAAAATTGAGAAAATGAGTAAAAAAAGTCGAGTTTTGTATTTTTTTTTAGAAAAAACAGTTTCAAATTTTAAAAAAGTGTCTCCAGAGGAGCATAGATTTATCCTTTACCTACACGAACATATTTTTTTCTTTCAGAATAAGGCAAAAATAAACTTTAAAAGTGGGGCTACGAAACCCTTGCATGCTCCGCTCTACAGCTAAGTAAATACTCCTCTTAACATTTTATGTTTAAAAATTCAAAAAAAATTGGAGAATTTTAACTTTAAAGCTGCGAAGTCCCACAAGCACAACTAACTAGAATATTTCGCTTCCCGAATAAGTGCTATATCCAAACCACTAAATATATATATAAACCGTAAATATGCAGAGATGTGCATTTTGCGTGTTGACATTCAACCGGCGTGACGTGCTTTGTGTACAACGTATATTTTAATAGATTTATAACATTTAAGGTGGAAATATTATAACGGAAATTAAGGTAAGTTATTTCAATATTATTTAACATAACTGTAAGCCAGATATTTTGAATGAACGCGTTACTTATAGCATTTCTTAACAATTTATTCAGTCCCTAAAGGATTTAGCAGATTTTCATGTTTACTTTTACCTAAACATATTGGATTTGTCACTCAATACCTTACTATATTTTAAATGAGATGGATCATTATTATAGGTTTGTTTGTTGTGAAAATAGTATTTAAATAATGAAAAGAAGTATTATAAAAAATAAACGTTTGCCAGTATAGTATTTCATTTTGCATTATAGATGTCTCGCGGAAGAAAATTAGTAGAATTAGCGACAGGATCGGCTTCAAGTTTAATGCCTGAACTGAAACTGGACAAGCCTGAAGAACCGGATAATCCTGTTTCTTATGAAAATAAAAATGTATCGGAAATTCCATTTCCGAAACTAATGGAAAATATTGATTGCCTTGATTCTTTACTACATGATGAGAACTTCACAGAACTCTCTGTTGTGGATAATATATACTTTGAATTTATAGATTTGGAAAATAATAGTATTGAAAATAAAACGGATCAGAGACAAATGTTGAAAGAAATAAATACTTCTATTAAGAGTAACCAAATACCAATACTCGGTATCACCAGTACGAAAGAAATTGTTCTCGAGCCTATCAAATTGGTTTACGCAGATCATCCTCAGAATGAATTGGAAAGTCCTGAAAATGAGGTAGCTACTGACCCAATTAGTGACGAGAGTGATGCCGAGTTTAGTTTGGTGCCATATTCAAATCACTCTGACTTCGATGTGTCAATAGAATATCCAGAAAAAAGTCAAACTCGAAAAAAGAGGTTTCAGGTTAATAAAAATGAATGGTTTTCAGAGAAAAACAAAAAGCTAAGGGAAAAGGGCTACAGTTTTCTCGGTCGAGGCAAAAAGGGTAACAAGTGGGTCTATGATATTAAAAAAGCTCCTCGAGTAATAAAATCAAGATGTACATGTAAAGTAACGACCAAAAATCTAAAATGCAGCTCTATTACAGAGGAAGACATAAAAGAAATATTTCAATATTTCTGGAACTTATCCTGGGATCAAAAGAAGATCTTTATTGATAACATAGTGTCACTAGTTCCGGTTAACCGCCCCAGAAATCGTAAAAACGCTGAAATTTCAAGAAGATCTCAATCCGTTTTATATCATTTAAGAATACATGACACTAACATTCGGGTTTGTCGTGTCATGTTCCTAAACACTTTAGTCATAGGCAGAATGACTGTTTTGGATTGGAAAGAAAAGAAAGGACGTAGAACAAAAAAGCAACATAATAAAACTGATAAAACGGAAAATCATAAACTTTTTGACAGAGAAAATAGAGAACTGATAAACTTTGTAAATTATCTTCCCAAAATGGAATCCCATTATTGTAGGGCTTCTACAAAAAAACAATATCTTCTACCAGAGTGGCAATCAAAAAATAACCTTTATAGATTTTACGTTAATGATTTTTGCAAATCTCGAAACGTATCACCACTTTCAATAACCACTTTTAACCAGGTGTTAGAATTGCACAACATTTCTCTCTACCATCCTAAGAAATATCAGTGTGAGAAATGCGCAGGATTTAAAGTAGGACACATTACAGAACAAGAATATAATATACATATAGCCAAAAAGGAGGAGGCTAGGAAAGAAAAGGCCAAAGATAAAGAAAATGAAAGGTTTGTCTTCACAATGGACCTACAGGCTGTTCTAATGGCTCCAAAATCGAAAATTTCGAACTTGTATTATAAAACCAAGCTCTCTATACACAATCTTTGCTATTACAACATAATTAACCAAGATGGATTTTGCTACCTCTGGAGCGAAGTTGAAGGTGGAGTTAACGCTGAAGAATTCGCCTCCATTTGTTTAAAATTTATTGTAGAAAAAGTATTGCCGTCTGTTGACCGTGGAAATATTAAAGATATAAAAGTCATTCTGTATAGTGATGGTTGTACCTACCAAAATAGGAATGTCGTAACGAACGCTTTACTCAATGTAGCCATTTACTACAAAATAACTATTCAACAAAAGTATTTAGAGGTTGGGCATACACAAATGGAGGCGGATTCCATGCATAGCACTATAGAGAGACATCTCAAAGACAGGTCAATCAATGTACCGGCAGAATATTACTCAATATGTCAAAAAGCCCGTATGAAGCCAAAGAACTATGATGTGTCCTATATAAACCATACGTTTTTTAAGAAATTTAGTAACGTGGAATATTTCAAGAGTATTCGTCCAGGGAAATTAAAAGGAGATTCAAAGGTGAGAATAAACTTCATTACTATAAAACTTTTTTTTTGTTGCGTTACTGGTCAAAAAATATAAATTATAATACCTTCTATTAGCTTACATTTTTGGTAACTTGGCTATTTATTTAGGCATATTATTTTGTTTTTAAAATATCACTTATTTGCTACTATTACAGTCGTTTCTGTTTCTTAACTATTCACTCTTCTTTGTAATTTTATACTGTTCATGTTTTTAGGTTTTGGATATTCGAGCCCTTAAGTACAGTCCAAATGGAGACGTTCACTACAAACTACGATTTTCTGAAGAATGGCAAATATTACCTCAAAGGCGGACTCCTGGAATTAAGGCATGTTCTATGGATGAGCTAGATCAGCTTCATTCAGAAAGGCTTAAGATTAAAAACAGGAAGTTTATGGATCTGCAGGCGCTTAAAGCTACTTTGGCTGACGATTACCACGACTTCTATGATAGGCTTCCCCATGAATAGTGTTTTTTTTATTGATAATATAACTTTTTTGAATAAAAGAAAACTTTGAATCAAAAAATATTTTATTACATTATTACAAGAAAAGTTGCCAAATCAAAAAATATACATATATTTTTTTATAAAACCTGCAAAAAATATGAATAAAAAATTAAAAATAAAGTTAGGGCATGTTTTAAGAATTTACAAATGATGTTTACATAACAATGAAGAAACGGTATTTTTGAATTTATGATCCCATAGCTCATGAAATGTTTAAAAGGTTTTATTCATCTCCTGTAAAACTAGGTATAATGGACTTAGCAGTTCTACACATTTAGGTGACGTTATGTCAATTAATATAAAAATTAAAAAGGCCGCGAGTGTTCTACACTCTGCTAACGGTGTATTGAAAAGCATTGAAAAGCGTTCGGTAGCCGACACTGTATTTAAACACTAGATTTTCAGTATTTTCGAGTAGGTACTTTTTTGAGCAATTATTAAAGATCGACATTATTTGTTTCTGAGATATAGACGGGTTGGTGTTAACTATGATTTGGTCACTCGATACAAATACAGGTACTTACTCTCAAACATTCGTGATAGAATAACCTTTGCATCTGGCTTTCAGTTCTCATTGTACCAGCATCAGCTTGCGTAATGCCTTGAATGCATTTGGAGAGATCACGAAGGTTAAATACGTAATGTGATTTGGAAGGAGTAGGCAATAAGTCGCTCTCTATTTTCTGATAGATATCTACAGCGGCATTGATCATAGCATCTCCCATTGCTTTTATTTCGGTTATGAATGTGTTTAAAAATCCTTTTAAAATTGACTAGAAAAAAGTTTAATTTCATATAGGTCATAGATAAACAATCTTATTTGAAAAAACTCACTTTAAATATAACTTTAAGAGCCATCTCATTTGGAGGAGGAATAAGTAACATGCCGAAATGTCTAACGAATCTAGGAGTTAAAGGGTTTCTACCACCACCAGGAGGAGCGCAACCAACTGCTATAATAACATCTTGTATTTGTTTCCAGAACAGTTTTTCTCTGTCGTATAAACCTCCATAATCCAAGAATTGCCTATTGGCCAAAATAAATAATTAAGAATAAAATGATTTAGGCGTTCAACTTGGAGCAGATATTCAATTGTTTCAATTAAAGCGAAAAGTATAATGCGTTTATGTTGCATTAGCATGAAATTAATTATCAGCTTACTTTGAAAACCTAAAATCACCTATTGAAATTTCAAAATTTATACAGGGTGTTTCTATACAGTACATGTACATATACATTCGAAATTGTCCATTATTAGTGAGTCTTTTACATCTCATTAACTAGATGATTTTTACCTGCATTTTTATTTGGCCAAAACTCAACAATCACTTGGTATAAAAATTTTAAATTTGGTTGGTGAACTCATTTCAATATAGTAAAAATAATCTCATAGAAATAATAATTAAAATGTAGGTTTGTTGAATTATCTCAACATTTAAAGTCTATATTATCTATTGGGATCTAAAATTAAGATCGCAGCGCCGTCTGTACTTAACATTTAAACTAATTGTTATGGCTTGTTATTGTTTACATTTTTGAGTTTGTAAACAAACAACCCATAAAAAGTTTTAGTTTATATTGTGCTATTTTAAGGAAAACACGAGGGAAAACATATTGTTGTTGTTAATTTTTAGTGATTAGATACTTTTATTTCAATAGTTTTTAGGTTAAAGTAGAATATATATTTTTATTTGGTAAGTAACCCCCTATTAATTTTGTTTTTAAATTACATTCATTCATTTATGTTAATTTAAGATATATTTGTGTTATCTTTTAATAAAATATTAATATATTTATTTTATTTTTAGTGAGATGTCTGAAATAAGGCTAAGTTTAATAGAACTTATGAAGTATATTGATGCAGGTGAAAATTCCAGGACTGTTATTAAAGAAGATGCTATTTTAAATGCGGGCCACATAGTTTTTATGTGGAAATAATGAATTTAGTGATAAACACGTTTTTGCAGTTGTTCTCCAAACTAGTGCATTGAATTCAGGTCCCCATATTGTTGTAGGCCAGTGCAAGATGTTTAAAATTAGTGAATGGCAGTGTTTGTTTTAAGCTGGGAACAGTGGACAGTGCAAACATATTTCAGGAGTCTTAATAAAGTGTTCTAGGTGTATACTGTTTCAAATAATAAAAGAACTATCAAGCTAATTCGATCGAATACCTTTTGATTTTGTTCTACACCCACATGTATATTATTTATTTTACGCACTGATTAAAGAACGAAAAAGTAGGCCATTGAACGAATATATTTATCCATTCTATGAACACTGTACAGATATGAAATCCACCAATATTTGGTCACCAGGATACCATTATTTTTTTAAATTTTAAATGAGTAACAATTCTGTCAAACTAATTTTCAGCATAGTTTTTAGTTATTGAGATTAAATATAAATTACAAATGATTATTGTGAAGAACCGATAAATAATGGCACTACACAAGATATTCTTTTATATTTTCAAATAAATCTAAAATCAGTTTATGATTATTACAAAAACTATGTGTCCTTGGTACGGAAGCAGAATATTTATGGCTTCACTTTTATGTTTGCATAAACTATTTGATAATCAAATTATTATTTCAATGTTCCATAATTTTATTTAACAAGATGTTTTAAAACATATAGAATAATTATTTTTTTAAAATCATCTATTAACACAAGTAGGTACTATTTTGTTTGTTTGTTAGTTTTGATGTAAAATTTACTTAGTAATAATTTGTAGTTTGTATTAGTTTTTAGTCTTAATACTTTTATAATATATTATTTAATTCATGTTACTTATTATCTTACAAACAATTGTATGACACTTCGCAAGTGTTCTTATTCTTACCTTTTTAACACACTGATGTTTGTAATGTTTGGATATTGTGTGAATAATTATGATATTAATAACATAAGTAATTCATGTGATCTCTTCTTTAATACAATAAATGAAAATATACAGCTTGAAATTTATGATTGATTTTGTACTTGAGAGAATATTCTTTTTAATAATTATTTTTATTCTCAAGTTTACTAGTCATCGTGTACAGTTACATTTTCTAATGAGTGATTGTACATTGATAATATATTTTTGTACATTTTTTATATTATTCTGTAATGGAATAGTTCGACACATGCAACGAAGACTATAGTAACTCATTATTTCCAGTTTTGAGAAAATCTAAGATATTCAAAATATGTTATGGCCTAAATGATTTACTATATTTGATGGTAGTATTTCTGGTTGCTTAACCTCTTCGTTTATATATGATACTTATTTAGATCAAAGCTTTTGGCAAATATATGTGCTGGATAAAGGTAACTAAAAACTCTCAAAAATGAGTCTTCGTTGCATGGGTCGAGTTGATTCTGTTGGTAAAAAGGCTATTACTATAAGCAATAAATATAAAAATCAAATATTTTTTTTATTTTTCCTGTTAACAAAATATGCCAATATTTACATAATAATAAACGTTCTTTATTGAGTTACAATACCCAATAGGCCATCTTCCGAAGTACTTCAGCTGATTTGACTGTATTTTCTAGTACAGTATGTTAAAGTTGTTAATACCAGTGAATGAACACAACTCTTTGTCAGATTTTAAAAGATCTCAAATTGTTTTAATTTTTGGGGTATGCGCACTTGTACACTAATGGCAATATACTTGAAAAAGAGTATTTGCAACCTCTGTCTTGTTTGGCGTGAGTAGCTAGGTTATCTTGAAACAAATCACTCTCAACTATGACTTTGTTTAATCTCACTATCACATTTAACACTGATTGAACTTTTTTTAGTTTGTATACAAAATATTTATTCTGTGGTTTGGATCTTCTTTTTGTTCTCTCAATATTTGATTTTGAAGTTTATTGAACAGAATCGTCAAACATTTACGTAAAAACTGGCAGGAAGACACAGCGATTTTTTTTTATATTTATTTTCACTTTGGATGAGGCATCTACAACACAAAAAAGGTAAAATAAAAACATTCAATCGAAAAATAAATCTATATTACCTCTAGGCAAATCATCTTCTTTAAAATGCCTCTCAATTTTTAATTTTTGTAACCTTGCATTTCTTGCAGAATTTCCACTTGCAATTTATAAAAATTACCCTACATTTACGAACTTTAGGAAGCAAATGAAATGTAAAAGAAGGTCCATTTTTTTTAGGGCTGCATCCAGGCACCCAACAAGTGTGTTTTTAACTGATATTCCACTTATAGTTCAAATAAAATAATATTGTAATATATATGATATAAATTTAAAGCATTAGCTTATTATTAAATAAGATATTTCAAACAAAATACTTGTTAAATTTTAAAATATTGAAATGACCTGATAAACAATAAACAAAACTTGACAGAACACAGACGGTCAAGTGTCAAATGGCATAACTTTTAGTTCACAGTAGAGGGCGTATCGCTTATCTTCAGATCCCAATAAGTGGTAAAAATTTTATTGACATCGGTCATTGGCCCAAAAACAATACCCTCGTTTTGTCAATAAAAGTATTAGTGGAAACAAGTTATTTCAATTTCAATCATACTTTCTAACAGACACCTTGTATCAAAAAATTCTTCTTCAGTCCACACCAGAAAAATCCATTTAATTTAGAAATGGGTGAGTTCGGCATTCAGATTTATATGTCAGACTATCACAAGATCCAAATTAACAACATTGACCATTTCTTTCCGTTTCAAGAACAACATCCTGCATTACCAAATTTACCATATTACTTTATTTCAAAAAAGCGGAAAAAATAATTATTAATATGTGAACTTCTTTTTATGTAAATATACTTTTCGAATAATATGAAGTGTGTTCATTTTTTTATTTATTTATCTCAACTTATACAAGTTTTTTAACCAGCACTAACATTAGTTACATGTAAATAAAAACACTATTTGGCTTTGTAAAATTAAAAAAAAAATGATGAACAATATTTTTTATAAATTTAATTTTTATAATTTTAAAAATGACGTGATTATGATTGCACTGCAAATTGTTTTTTGGTAAATAATCATTTAAACATAAAGGGAAATACTGGGGTGGACAAGCTGAAAGTGTGTTATATGTGAGAACGTGGAAATCATAGATTAAAGAAGTGGGAAACTCAATTGTAATATTCCGACACGATGTGCTGTCATATATCAAATTGGAGTGATAATAAATTCACAATGGCCGCTAGGCGGGCTTTTTAAAATTTAACTTTCTGCTAGCTGTGTAATATGTAATAAAGAAAATTAAACAAACACAAATAAACTGTTTTATTTTAACTAAAGTCTATTCAAATTTAATTTACGCCTGATGTAAACAGAAGCAGGTGGACGCTAAAATTGAGCAGGGCAGTATTTTACTTTTCCGTCTTGCAAAAATGTAAAATATAAAAATGTAATTGTGAAATTATTTTTTTATTACGATAAAAACATATTTTGTAAACTAAAACTATAAAATAAATGCCATACACGGTCTCCCAGACTTTAGTGACATTTCTGGACGAAGATAGGTGAGCGACATAAACTGCGTTAACCTGCAATACAAGTTAATAAATGTATCATATTATAAAATTATATTATACAGGGTGTCCAAATAATTGCAAATTCTAGTATTTAGATTAGACACCTTGTACCCTGTATTATAGCAATCTTCCTTACTTGACTTAGCACTATTCTGAATCGGATAAATTAGTTAGACTTGAAGGGCTATCTTCATTAATCAAAATTACAAGTGGTTCTACCTGAACCTCTATAATATTATCCAACTCCCACATTTTTACTTCAACTTTTTGACGAACATGGTCGATACACTTTTTCCATTTTTCTGGAGAAATTAATAATATTACTTCTTCAAAAAGAATTTTAATGTCTCCAGATTTAAATGTTGAGTTTTTATCTGCTACGTATTGTTTAACGTCAACCTAGATTAATTCAATATTATGTTGTTCTGCTGCTTAGCCATTTCATCTATTACATACCTATCATAATGTTTATGTTGCTTACCAAGTTTTAGAAGTTGGATCTTAAGAATTTGGT